TTCTCTGCATGTAAAATGGGACTCCCCTGTCCCACAGAGGCAGCATCAAATAAACTGGAGCGGCAAGTTTATGACCGGTTCGTGGTAAACTCTGAAGGCATGAACAACTGCAGGTTTGCCTGCCATACAAGCCATCCTGGGTTTGTGTCACGCTGCAGCCAGGGGAGGCATCTGAACAAGAACAAGCTGCTGGTGAGCCAGTCTCCCCAAAGAGGCCTTTGTTTAAAAGCATTGCTTAAAACTAGCATCCCCTCACTGGCAGAGGCCTGTCTTTACTCCTGGCGCTTGCCTCTTCACTGAGATGGAGTAGAAGGAGGGGTATATGACCTACCTGCACTGGTCAGCAGCTGGAGCACCATCCTCTTTGTTTACCCCAACACTCCCTTCTGTGTCAGTGGCCAAAGCTTCAGTTCTTATCTCTTCTGGCCTCTACCCAAATTTCTGCTGCCTCCATTTAAACGCTCTCCCGAATGCCTTGCCTAGCTGACTTTAACCGCATTTCTACACAGAACCAAACATTTCAGAGCTGATTCCACCGTTCTCAGTGGGGCAGAAATGTCATATGACAAAGGGATGACTGCCAAATGTCAGCCAGTTTTCACATCATGCATTGGCAGAACACAGAGGTGCTCAGAGAGAGGAGATGCAATATTCATTCTACCAGAAAAACTGTTATCAGAGTGACCAGTGTCCTGATCTAACCAGCTTTTCGTTCTGGTCTCTTCTGTTTGTTTTATTGCACCATTTTCTCCTATGATAGCATTTTATTAATGGATACTCTGTGGTTGACAAACTACTGAAGGAAGCTGATAAAAACCCAAGGATGTAGCCAGGAGCTTTGAATAGATACTTGAGATTTTTCAGTAGTAAGTAACTAAATGTTCTTGCTTGAAATCCCTCTCAGATGTAGCTGAGGCAGACGGAAAGAAGATCCTTCAACTCTCCATCTCGCCTGCAGACACTGACACGTCCTCAACAGAGGAAGGGAACAGTATTTCAACCCCAACAGCTTGTAACAGAACTTTAAACTGTGACTGAGCTTTGTGCGTTTTCAGCCCACGGGGCCGCGGCGCATCGTGGCTGTGGAGCAGGGATGACAGCTTCTCCCGACCCCACCCAGCGGGGCCCAGGTCCGCCCTGGACAGAGAGCCAGTCTTGCTCCTCTGGAAAGGGACTGACCTGAGCTCCATCTCAAACTCTCCTTGGCTTAAATAGGCCAGGTGTCTTCGCTAGTTTTCTTGAATACTGACAGGATTGTGAAGAGGGGTGGGAAGGAAGAGAGCTTAGAATACGCTTTCTGCTGAGAAATGGTGCCATTAAGACTGAGTTTCATGATGGTATTTTCCTCATAATTATTAATTCGGAGATCTTCAAAGCTCTTTATAGTAATTTTCTTCTCTCCTGCATACCTCCTGCTACTGACCTGTACAAAACTTTGCACTTCTGCATGTTAAGCCTGGGCCTTCCGGGCTGGGCAAAGACAGCCAGGCCTAATGGAAAGACTTCTCATGAAAATACAGTCTACCTCTCTGCATTTCACATCTTAATGAGAATCACCCAGGATTAACCCCATTTACCAGCGGAGAGAGACATTGCTACAGACAAAGCAGATGCAGAGATGGCGATTTGATTTTACTTTTCCAGAACTGTGAAGCAAGTGCAAAGTGGATAATTTAATGATCTGCATAGTATAAAGAAATGTATATCCATCCATCCTCTCCCTGATGAAAGATAGGAAGCTCAGACTGGTCATGCGGGATTCACCTGGGAATGACCTAGGCTTTCCAAACACAGTTAGTGTCCCAGCTCAGCCTGTTCACACAGTGGAATACAGCGGGGAAGGAAAGGGGAAGGCGCTCCCCAGCTTCTGACACCCTCCCCAAGGCCCGTTCGACCACGGCAGAGTCCAGTTTGATTGGTAGCAGACACAACTTGTCCTGCCCCCCCATTCCCAGCAAGGTTTGCCCTGCCTCACTGGTCATTTGTTCTTGTGGAGGGGCAGTAACCCCAGGAGCAGGGATCTGTGCCCACGGAGGGGTAGCAAGGATTCATCTCCAGGTCGCAATCCCTCCCAGGGGTCCCCTGGGGCAGCCCTTGCCGACTGCCCCATGTTCAGGGCACTGAACAAAGACCAAGTTTCTCCTGGGAAAACTCTTAAGAAGTATTTACAGCTTCACCCGCCAAAGCCTACACACTTCTACAAGCAGCCACGACCGCTGACAAACCCTGTCCTCCAAGTCCACCTCTGCTCCAAGGTGGCATGCCACGGTTAGCATAGCAGCATTCCCTGCCTGCAGCTGTCTCATTGCAAAGCAGAAAATTCCTCAATATATTCACTGGCAGTCTTCTATTGGTATTATTCTTCCTTAGAACGTCAGATGTTGCAAAGAAGTCAAATACAGACACTAAAAATACTGTCTTGCTAATACAGTTTAAGGAAAAGAAGAAATAGATCACTTGGAAAGGGCTGAGCTAATAGCCTTAGCAAAGTTAGAGTAAAGAAGTGGTTAAGGATCTAGATGATTTAATCCAGTTTTAAGAAAAGGTTTTACAGTGAGCAATTAGATGCTGTTTAAGGAATTAATCACTAATGGGTCATTAACTCTGACTGCTATTGTGCAGTTAACAAGCCGAGGCAGGATTATTAGACTCAGCACCCAATTAAGAAGGAGAAGATATTTACAACAAAATGAACAAACGAGCTTTTAAAATGGAATGGGACAATTTGAAGGAAAGTATAAGAACACAGAAACCTAGACAGGGTACAAGAAAGATATGAGTTTGCATATATGCCTCTGTCCCTTTATCTGTTTGAAAAATATTTACCTGTCTGTGCCCATTTGTGTTTAGCTGGTTAAAATATTTATTTTTAGCAATAAACTTGTAGCTTTCCTTGAAGTACATGACTGCACAGTTTACCCATTACAGGGTTCACGTGTACAACGTATAACAAAAGACCTGCTTAATATGTCAATAAAAGAACAATCACCATAGCATGACACAAACTTTCATTTTTTGCTGGCAGGTGTTGGATCAGGAGCTTAATAAAAGTGAACAGGGCTCTTCAGCTGCTATTTCTGCTCTCCTGACATTGTGTTTTTACCTACTGTCAGCCTTCGACCACCTCAAGTGTCAGTGCTGGTTACAGCGCTGATCAAAATGTCCGGGGGCCCTTTCCAGTGGCTCTACAGGATAAAGGACGGGAGGCCACGGGGAGGGAGGGCTGTCGTGTCCAGCCGTGGAAGAGCACGGCCGAAATCCCGGGGCTTTGCTCGCTCGTCACGAGCAGTAAGCACAGGTGAAAGCTGTTGGACAACAGCTAGATGTGCGCACACGCAGGAGTGTTTTCGGCATCGCCGGCACAGCTGGACTGCAGCCAAACAGTGACAGGTGGGATTGCTCCTGCCCCTGAGGAGGAAGAGTGTGCAGAGCCTGTGCAGCCTCTTGCCAGCGTGTTACCGCCCCAGCCCAGGGTGTGCGGGCACCCCTCAGGCACACCGAGACACCCTTCCCACGCACCAGAGGAGACGTGTCTTCCTGCGAGCCCAGCGTCCTTGGTGATGCAAAGCTCACCTCTGAAAGGACCACTGGAGTCAGACCTCAGAACCGCAGGTTTTGTTCTCTCCCTCCACCCCAGCAGTTTACTCAGGTCTCCTTACTAGGAGTTAGCAAAACACCCCCCCCGTCCCGACAGCGACAGCACTTTCTTCTCCCGACAGCACAGCACTTCCTCTGCGAAAGAAGCGAAGAGCGGAGAGCCAGGGAGGCTGGGCACCGCCGCAGACCGACACACAGAGGCACAGAGCCCAGAATTTGGGGCTACATCCCCCAGAATTCAGCGGGGCCCAATCCCTGGGCCTCCCTCCACCGCATGGGACCAGCACAGCTCAGGAGAAAGAAGCCTGGGGACCAGGCACAGCATCTGCTCTGGTCCAGAGAGGCAGGTTGGATCTGCAGGGAGGCTGGGGAGAGAGGAAAAGGCATTTCAAAATAGAGGGAGTCCCCTTATTATCTGTAAAAGAAGCTCTCCAGACAATAGATGGGGGCTGCTGTGGAGAACGCTGTTAAGGGATGTTTAGAAACTGCTGTCTAAGGTTAAAAAACTCTCTGAAGTGAAGCTGAACAAAGCTGACATGCTTGTTTCTGACAGGACTCTTAAAAGATACGCACAGATTGTGAAAATATAATTAGATGCCAGCCTTTGTCTGGCCACAACGAGTGGGAAATGGTGAAAGGAGAGGTCTCCCAGTCTGCATTGAATCATCCCTGGGACACAATGAGGGCGCTTGTGCATCCTTCTCTCTTCCCTAATGAGAAACGTTAATTGCCACAACCTCCAGAGTGTGTAGAGCACCCCGTGCCCAGTGGAGAAGAAGGGGTGTTTCATTACAGCTTCTCAGCCCCATTACAGGGAGTAACAGAGATAATGGAAAATAAAGATGCCGCAGTTTTAGTTTCGGCAGCTTGTGGATGGGCATTGGGTGGGCAGGGGAGGGAGAGCAGCCCAGCGCCGTGCCAGCATCCGGGGGCTGCACCGGGCCGACAGCTCCGGACACCCAGCCGGGCGTCTCTGCCCCACCGCGGGCAGCTGGGCTGGGGGCACCGGGCCCTGCAGCGCCACCGGTCCCCTCCTCTGCGGGGGCAGCAAGGGCCGGGGGGCCGGCACCCACCCTGGTGTGCTGGTGCAGGGGTGGGCAGAGCCCAGCCGAGCCCGGGGCTGCCCCCAAAGAGGGCTGTGGGAGCGCTGTGCCCGGCACCCCCGGCCGAGCGAGGGGCTGATGCGTGCTCCCCACCTTGGGGCTGCAGCCCCAGCGCTCGGGCAGAGTCCTGCTGCTGGGGGAGGGCCCACAACCGGGCCCGTCCCAGCCCTCGGCGCGTCACGTCGGGGCGCAGAGATGCCGTGCACAGCCTCCACGCAGGTTGTGCCATTTAACGGTGCAAAAGCAGAAAACCCTCCCCAGGTAATGCAGGCCTCAGTTCTCAGCCACCTGACACAGCTCTTCGCCCTACTGCAGCTTTTATTGCAACTAAAGCGTCCAGCCAAGGAGGGAGAGCAAAAGAGATTTTTTTTTTTTTCCTAAGCTATGATCAGAACCCTAACTCTGCAGGGCATGTAGAAAAGGGAATTAAAAGGACCACAGGATACAAAGCAAGCCAAGGCGTGGGGGAAAGGCTGGCGCAAGGGACAGCCTTCCCGTACCTGGCCCTTTGGGGAGCCAGCGCAGGGCGAGGGCGTCCCTTGGGCATCCCAGGATCAGTCTTCCCCGCGGGGGGGTTTCTCCCAGGTGCTGAAGAGGGAGTTCAGATCGTCTGCCAGGGTTTGCCGATGGACTGGATGTGCTCCTTGGCCTTCAGCCGCAGGGCGGCAATGCTGGTGTTGCGCGGGTCTGCCTCGTCCAAGGGGAACTTGTCCACAAAGGTGGCCCCGCACTGGTAAGGCGGCGGCGGCCCCATGGCCCCCAGCGGCTGCAGCGTGTGGGTCACGGCTGGAGAGTTCAGGAAGGGCGGTGGCGTGTAGCTGCCGGGCAGGCTCTGCGGCGAGGCCACGAAGCCGGGCAGGCTCTGCAGGGCTGTGCTGCTGGGCACCGGCGGGCTGAGCCAGGTCTCCAGGGGCAGGTTGCTGCTGAGGGGGCCCATGGGCGCTGCCTGCGGTGAGCGGTTGAAGGAGAGGATGGGTGAGTCCTGCAGCTTCATGGAGGTCACCTCCAGCTTCTCCTGCCGCCTCCACTTGGCCCGTCTGTTCTGAAACCACACCTGCAAGCACAGCCGCGTTAGTCGGGCCATGGGACGCCACGGAAGGCAGAGGCTCTCCCCTGGGTGCAGCGGCACGCGCGGAATGGAGCGAGGGAAGCACTAGAGAGCGGCCAACGTGCGCCGTGCCAAGCCGGGGCAGGAGCGGGTTCAGCGGCGCTTCCCCGCGGGCTCGGCCCCCCGCAGCCCCGCGCTCGGCGGG